GGCGAACCTTTTGAGCTCGGCATGTCAGCATTTTGAAAAACCCTAACTTAACTCTGATGCCGTGTCACATATAGAAATTTTTTGAAATTTGCAACCATAGTAAAACAAAGACATATTTTTGATATTTATTTTATATATTTAAATGCCATTTAACAAAGAAAAATCAACCAAAAAAATGAGTTCGTGTGTCACCTCTGACACGCGTGTCATAGGTTTGCCATCATTGCTCTATCCACTGAGCCGAACCAGCTAGGGCACACCTGGCATTTCTTTAACCCTTTAGTGAGGGGTCAGTAAGATGGTAAAGCCAAAGCTTTGAGATCCCTGAAAGGGGATTGCAAGTTAGATACAGGCTGCTTAATGTCATATGAACAATAAAACTGCCATTGGGGGAGGTTATCTCTTTTCCTGGGTAAAATGATTTACAGCAGATCCATCTGTAAGTTGACATCTGCCTTCCCGGAGTCTAGGCCTAATAGTAACAGTAAGTCAACCACAGGTACGTCTTACTGGGTAAAGGGCTGGCAACTGCTTTTGTAAATAAAGTTTTATTGGACGCAGTGGGTGTGGAGCTGCATTCATGCTGCAGCCACAGAACGGACTAGTTGCGACAAAGACCACAGGGCCTGCATATTTGCTTTGTGGTCCTCTGCAGAAACCGCTCTCCAGCTGCTGTGCTGAAGAGAGAAGGAAGTCTCAGCTGGGCCTTCTAGTCAGGCTGCAGCGTGACGTAGGAAAGTCCTGTGGTCAGCCTTCAGCCTGTTTGCTGGTGTTGCATCGTTTTCTTAGCATTGTCTGGTCTGGAAGGCCTTGTGTTTGGAAGCTCTTGGTAGGTCTTTGCTGATGCCTCCTCCGAAGTTAAGGACTGGCCCTCAGATGCAGGCCCGGGTCAGGAAATAGGCCCTTCCTGCTCTCACATATGACCTCCCAGAGGGTGGGGTCCCTGTGGGCCCTAGATCAGCAGTCGCCAGCCGGTGGTCCGTGAGGTCCTAAAGGTTGGCGACTGCTGCCCTAGATCATTGTTGTCTGCCTTCTATTTATTGCTTCCTGCCATTGTGTTTCAGCCCTGTGTCCTGGCAGATAAGACAGATCATTAAGAAGGAGGATGATGATAATAGCAGTAATAACCACAATAGCTGACTGATATCACACCTACAGCGTGTCTGTCAGAGAATGCAGCGCTTTACCCGTATCATCGCACTTAGTCACAAGGAGTCAAGGGACTTTTCTAGACAAAACCAAGGCTGCTGTTGGTCCTTTAAAGAAACCCTCCTGGTGTTCCTGTGTGGCAGCAGGTGCTACGTCACTAAAGCTGAATTCTCATCACTCTTCCCCCTGGACTGCGTGGACCCTGGGGCAGACTTTGCCATTGTTTAGACCCAGGAAATCGGAGGCAGAGCCAAAAGAGTGAGGCTCCAGTTTGGGCGCTGCTGTATCTGTGAAACAGGCATAATATTATTTATCCCCTCCCTGCTGGGGTCTCTGTTAGAGTTAAGTAAAGAGACTATGGGTGGTATGTGAACCCTAAAAACACTACACAGATGGTGGGTTAACCCCCATCCTGCTCCTGTTACAGCTTCTTAATTCTTTCTGGATCCATGGAGAAAATCAGAATATGCACGTACGCATAGGTTTTCCATATTTTTGCATGTGGTTTTTCAGTGTTCGTGGAGCTCCTAATTCTTGAGCCATCCGCTAAAAATTGGGGACTTGTAACTGTTCCAAGTCCTTCCTTTTGCCTCCTCTGTCATAAATGAACATGTGTCTACCGAGCTCCTTCTGGGTGCAGGGAGAGGCAGAACAGTGAATGGTCCACACATGGCCCTGCCCCCTGAGCCTCTCTAGTCACTCAACAAGCACCCAAGATAATTTCAAGAGTGGTAAGTGCCATAAGAAAAGCATCACAAGATAATATGTCAGAGTGTGGTTTGAGAAGGACGGAGTGACTTCCACTGGGGAGGTCAGGGAAGGTCTTTCTAAGGTGTTGAGACCTGATGGATGAGAAGAGCCAGTCACTGTATATAATAAAAGACAAATATGCAAATAGAACAAACGGTGGAACAACCGAACCGGTCGCTATGTTGTGCGCTGAACATCAAGGGGAGCGCAGAATATGGTGGGTGTGGGCAGCAGGCGGCAGAGCACGGAACATGGTGGGCATTGGCTGTGGTGGGATGGTGGAGCAGGTGAGCGAGGGCCAGACCAAGATGGGGCGTCGGTCGCTCTGTCATCAGGGTGAGCCTCTGGTGGTTACTGAAAATTCTTTGCTCCCGAGTGCCACAGTCCTGCCCAGAGCTTCTCACACCTGCTGCTGGTGCTAGAGCCACTGCTCGCACCCACTCCTGGCGCCAGCCCCACTCACTCCGCGCCGTCAGCAGGTGCAAGCAGGGCCGGCGCTGTCAAGAGTGTGGGAGCAGAGATGGTGGGAGCGGGCTGCCGACAGACAGGGGACCGGGTGCCACAGCTGGAGGGGCTGAGCAGGGGTGCGGAGGATGGGCCGAGACCCGCCCCTGTGCCCACTGTAGCCTTGCGGCTCACAGTTCCTTTCAAGGTGCACGAATTTGTGCACTGGACCCCTAGTGGGAGGATAATAAGCAGGGTGCTCTAGCCAGCACATGCAAAGGTCCTGAGGTTGGACTGAGCCTGGGTATGTGAGGGCAGAAAGGAGACCCGGTGGCTGCTGCCTGGGGCTGGGAGGACTCGGGCCGGCAGGCACTGAGACCACATGAGCCCTCTTGGCCTTGATAAGGAGTTTATTTTTATTCTCTAAGCCTCTGCTGTCCAATGCAAGAGCCAATGGTCATAAAAATTGAAATGGAAATACAATGAAAAGTTTGGTTTCTCAGAAGAAATTGGAAACTGTGTGTACTCTTGGCAGGAATGTAAAATGATACAGCCGCTGTGGAAAACAGCATGGTGGTTCCTCAAGAATTTAAAAATTGAATTTCCATAAGATTCAGCAATTCTACTTTTGTGTATAGACATAAAAGAATTGAAAGTGGTCTCGAAGAGATATTTGCACACCCATGTTTACAGTGCATTATTGACAATGGCCAAAAGGTGGAAGCACCTTAAAAATGTGGTTTCTCGTGGCATTAACCACAGTCACCAGCCACAGGGGAGAAGTGGCTGCCATGTCAGACAGCACACAGATGGAGAACGTTTCTGTCATCACAGGATGTTCCATCAGGTAGTGCCGCTCGTGTGTACGCGGGGCTTCAGAGGTCACTTCCACTCCCTGGCTCCCGGTCCACTCAGGCCGTTGGCTGCAGCAAGAAGCCTGAGGGTTTGGAGTGACGAACACTCTGGGTGTCCAAGGCATGGTTCACGCATGCGGGGAGGGAGTGGAGCAAGCCCCTCTGCCACAGGCTCTCGCTGCCCAGGTCTGTCCAACCACAGGGAGGCCGTTTGTCCATGGCAGTCTGGGAAGGGAGGGCTGGCCATCAGGGTCCAGGCCACATGCGGGGGGCCGAAGTCCAGGGGTAACTGGGAAGCAGTGAGCGGTGAGACACTGGGAGGAAGGGGATGTGTAACGAGCTGCTGGAGGAAGCCAGGAAGGGGCCCGGCCCGCATGGGCAAGTTCAGTTGCTTTGAACAAGAACATTTCTCCAGCCACCAAATCCACGCACAGCGCCTGCCTGCCCCCAGGGCTTTCTCTTTCCTGCCATCCGTCACCTCGTTCAGGCCGCAGCAGGAACGTTACCTCTCGTCACCTCTGGCACAGTGCGTGCCGCATATCCAGTTACACGCTTGTGTGTTTGAGTAACTAAGATGCCTTCTTCATGAGACTGTGTGCCCCCTAAGGCAGGTCTGTGGCCTGCAGTGGCTGCAGTGTCTAGGTTAGGGTAAGCCCGTGTCTGTGGAAGCAGTCTGTGACTGCTGTGCAATTTGCTTAACCTTCTGGAGCCTCCGTTTCCCCCTTTGTGAAGTGGAGACAGTAATATGTCTGTTGATACCAGTTGTGCGTTGACGCTGGCTTGCTAGAGTCAACTGTTCAATTTTCAGGAAATTTGCGAACTGTTTGTTAAGCTGTTATTACAATTTAAATAATATAAATTTACAATTAAACAAATTATGTTAAAATCAAAGGTAATAAATACTCAAAATTCACTGCATCCTAATGACCTCACTATAGTTTTCTATAAGTAGTCCCTTCTTATCCATGGTTTCTCTTTCCATATTTTCAGTAACCTGTGGTCTGAAAATATTATGGAAAATTCCAGAATTAAGCAATTCATAAGTTGTAAATTGTGCGCCCTTCTGGGTAGCATGAAGCCTCTTGCCATCCCACTCTCCCTCCCGAGGCACGACTCATCCTGTTGTCCAGTGTCTCCACCATTTATGTCTCCCTGCTCGTTGGTCATTTAGAACCGGCTCGACTATCAGATTGACTGTCGTGGTATCTGATGAGTGACCCTGTTTTACTTCATAATGCCACATTCACATAGCTTTTCCTAGAGTCTATTTTTATATTTACTCTATTTTATTAGTTATTGTTGTTAATCTCTTATTGTGCCTAATTTATAAATTAAGCTTTATCATATGTATGTTTAGGAAAACACATATCTATAGAGTTGGGTACTGTTCAAGACTCAGGCATCCACTGGCGGTCTCGGAATGAATCCCCCATAGGTGAGGGAGGGCGGCTGTATTTATGCTTTTGAGGTTATTTGCTGCTATTCAGCCTAGATGGTGGAAGTACTGTTTATGCCGTGGTGCCCTGTATCTCTCACCAGCTCCGTGTTCAGTAACTTGAGGTTGGTGGTATTTACACCGTGGAAATTGGCAGATGCTACAGGTCAGATCCTCTCTTACCCCCTCTCTCTGAAGTGGCTGTTAGCATTTACGGCACACCTCTGGTTTGGGGGCTTAATGAGTTTGTGCTTTGTGCGTGAGGCTGTTTTATTATTTTGTTTCGCTGGCTTTCCCTAATCTAGCACTGCTGTTCGTGCGGACAGGAGCTGGGCAACCCACTGACCAGCCGGTTTTTCTCTCCGCAGTCTGCCCGACCAGCTGCAAGTCGCACGGCTGCACTGCTGAAGGCCTCTGCTGCCACCCCGAGTGCCTGGGCAGCTGCTCCGAGCCCAACGACCCTACCAAGTGCGTGGCCTGCCGCCACTTCTACCTGGACGGGAGGTGCGTGGAGACCTGCCCAGCCCCGTACTACCACTTCCGGGACTGGCGCTGTGTGAACTTCAGCTTCTGCCTGGACCTGCACAACAAATGCAAGAACTCGCGGCGGCAGGGCTGCCATCAGTACGTCATTCACAACAACAAGTGCTTTGTGACAGTGTGTATGGACTTGGAGATTATGATGCTAAGTGAAATAAGCCAGTCAGAGAAAAATAAATACCATATGATCTATCTAATGAACAAAATAAACTAACGAACAAAATGGAACCGGAAGCGTGGGAACATGGAGCAGACTGGCTGGTGCCTGAGGTGACTGGATAAGGAAGGTGAAGGATTAGCTAAAGAACATACATGCACAGCCCCTGGATGTGGACAACAGTGTGGTGACGGCCAAGGGCGGGGGCGTGGGAGTGGGTGGAGGTTGGCCAAGGGGGCGGAAAACGGGGACAGTTGCAATAATTTCAACATTAAACAATTTTAATAAACAAAACAGAAAACCCATGTGAAAAACCAGCATCCGTTGCTATGGGTGAGGGCGCTGTGATGACCAGGACATGTACTTGGGAACCATGGGTCCATGTCTGCCTCCTGTTTTGGTCCTGGCCTTCGCAGCAGAGTCGACAAACCGTCTCTGTAAAGGGCCTCAGAGGAAGTACGTTGGCATCTTGCACGTGATTTTTAAAGCTTTCTGTGCTGGGCGTCGGGAGCAGAACGCACACAGGCAGCAGCCCCTGGCTTCCCGTCGCATCCTTCACATTCGCGGGACTGTCCCCGTGCTGTGACTTCCCGGCTCTTACACCCACAGTGGGGCTCAGGTTTTTGTGTTTCTTCTGATCCGGAGCTGGACAGCGTGTTGAGATGAGCCCGGAGCACGAGAAGGTAGAGACTTGATTCTCGGTCATTCCCAGGGCTTTTTTGTACTGGAAGCGGTTTTCTTTCTTTGTTGTGAGTCAGAGGCCTATGCACATTGCAGACATTTGTTCATCTTGTTAGCTTCTTAGATGCTATTTTGGTTTCTTGGGGCTGTAATCAAGCTTAAAAAATCTGTTTCCTGGTTTTTGTGTTGTGGGTTTGAAAAAACCCTCCACAAAACAACACAGAAACAGATCAGAAACAGGCGCACGCCGGGGGAAGCCGAGGGGCTCACCTAGAAATCTCCCCTTCAGACTCGAGAATTAGCCGATGAGGGTGGTCTGGTGGGAAGTTTTATTTCCCGAAAAAAAACCCAAACACCTTTATTTCAGTTCTACGAGGCTCTCTTCGAATGTTTGTGAAACCTACAAGTACAACATGTTTTGTTCTATTAGTTTTTTTTTACAAAAACCTGTTCTGTGGCTTTGTTGACCCAAATAGGCAATTATAAATCACTTTGCATGGCAGAAAGACTTTTCTTTTTCTTTTTTGGGCCAGTTCATCAGTAAGGTTGGGGAAGTGACCATATTCCTTTTGACTCCTTTTTGTTTGTTTTTTAAATGAATCTTCTAGTAAGATGTTTGTTTAAAAGACATCGGCTTTAAATAGAAGGAATTCTCTCTGAGAAGCCCAGCAACCTTCACTGATGTTCTCCTGATGGTGTGGCGGCCCCTGGAGCCCACGCCTCAGGAAATGGGCGCTGTGTCCCACGATGCTTGTGACCTTCGCTGAGAGAGGGCAAATCAGGCGGTGCTAATTACGACTCTTTATGGCACAATTCTACTTCGAAAGTTTTGAAAAAGATGAATATTTTTTTCTTCTGAAGCTTTTAAAAATAAAAGATGTTCTTAGGAAATACGTTAGTCCTATCACATTTTCTAATGTGGTTTGATATCAAATAGGACCAGATATGCTTTCTTCCATTCTTGTGGCTTATCCAGAAATAGTTCTTGGTGTTTTCAGAGCAGAGGCCTGGGGGTACATGCGGAGTCACGGGGAGACGCCTGCCGAGAGCAGTGCGTGCTCACTGAGATGGGGAGGGCTCGGTATTTGGGGTGAATGTTGTGTCCCTGTTCCCTCCCCATCGAGTGCTCTGCCCCTTGATCTTGCACGGCCCCCTTCTACTTGTCCAGGTCACAGCTTGTAAGTCACTTCCTCTGAAGTCCTTCCCGTGTGCCCACTTTGTCTGAATTAGTTGTCCAGCTCCTTTTTGGCACATCACTCAGGTTTAACTCTTTTCATGGCTTATACCACAGGCTGATATTGTAATTGTCAATTTAGTCATTTTCCTCAACTCTACCAACAGCTGTACCAGGGTGTCAGTTAGCTCCTGCTGCCTGGAGAGCAGCCCGGCACTCCGTACCTCACACTCACTTACGGTTTCTGATGGCTGATGGAAGGTTTGTCTGATGTGGGCAGGGTCAGCCCTGACTGATGGCGTAAGATAGCCAGCCGCTCATATCCTAGGTGGGCAGCCGGGGCCTCTCTCCGTGTGGTTTCTCATCCTGGCAGCCAGGAAGGGCATGCTCCAATGTGCAAGTACTTTTCAAGCCTCTGCTGACATCACATCTGCTCATGTTCCATCGGCCAAAGCAATTCATCTGGCCAAGCCCAGATTCACTGGAAGAGGACATAGAGCCACTTGATGGGAGGCCGAAAAGAACATGTGGCCATTGATAATGTCCCCCGGGAAAGTCAGTTGTTTTGTTCACCTCGTGTGCCTGTGCCGTGGAGCAGGCATTGGCAGGGCCCAGAGTGTAAATATTTTTAGTCTGAAGGCCATATGGTCTCTGCTGCAGCTACTCTGACATGATGGCGTAAGGATAGCCACACATGACCCATAAACCAGTGGGTGTGGTTGTATAGAACGTTCTTTAAAAAACAGATGGCCATGGACTTGGCACGCAGCTATAGTTTGTGGATCTCTAGCTTAGAGTGTCACCTGTCACATAGTGCTCAGTGAGTAGTTGTAGGACCAACAAAAGAACCAAACTTTTGGTCACAATTCTACATCCACTGCAGCTGTGCGGACACCACAGGGTGCACTGCACTACAGTTTGACACTATGCAACTGGAATCCGTATCAAACCACAGGTTGAAGACTGTTCTCCACAGGAAGGCCCTCACTTCTGACACCAGCCACGCTTCGGGGTCCTTAAGCCACCCTCACTTCTGATTGACTGGCTATAAATCTGGGGGTTCCCACAAACCCTTTGGGTTCAATAATTTGCTGTAACATCTCACAGAACTAAAACACGGCTGTAATACGTTGTGGGTCCCGAGCCTACTGATGGTACCTTCTCATTTAGGAACCCGCACTGCACATGGTTCTTATTGTGATCACAGGACACACTTCAAAATGAACCACCAGGGGACTTTGAGGAACAGATCTGTTACTCACAGGTCCTGGAGGGTACATGGCAGAGAGAGCGAGGGGGGTGGGACCTGGGTCTCTGCCTATAATAAGTCTGAGGATGAAGCATCTGCCATTTCCTGGTTCTCTCTCTCTCTCTCTCTTTTTTTAAAATATATTTTATTGATTTTTTACAGAGAGGAAGGGAGAGGGATAGAGAGTTAGAAACATCGATCAGCTGCCTCCTGCACACTCCCTACTGGGGATGTGCCCGCAACCAAGGTACATACATGCCCTTGACCGGAATCGAACCTGTGACCCTTGAGTCTGCAGGCCGATGCTCAATCCACTGAGTCAAACCGGTTAGGGCCCTGGTTCTCTCTTTATTGTCGAATTTAAAGCATAAGAACAGGAAGTAGGGTCCAGGAAGGGGGAAGCACGGTCGCCCAAGTAGTCAGGTATCTGGTGACCCAGGACTTTCTGCAAGAAGGGCCTTCACGGGTGGAAGGAGCCTGATTCCCTCACTGGTGGTTTTCCTGCTCACTGTATCATAGGCTGGCATTGTGTTTATTCAAGATGGATGTCCCCTGAAGTGGATGCCTCAGCAGTCAAAGCTTAATGTGCGCATACCCTACCTGTACCTGTGGTTACAGCGTTGTCATTAGGGTGCTTGTAGGGTGAGGTCTGGTGACTCCAGGAGTCCCCTGTCCCCACGGGGTAGAGTGAGATCCTGTCTCCATGCGGCTCAGTGAGTCCTCTGGGCTGGAGCACAGCAGCAGCCCTGCCGTGTGGGGGAGAAGCGTTAGTCCCCTGGTAATGCTGGGACCTGCTGCTGCAGGGAGGGGGGAGCCTGCCTTGTGGGGAGTGGCCTTACCTGGGCCGTTTGGCCACTTCCCTCAGGGGTCAATGTCTAGAGACATTATGGCTTTCAGTCCCCGGTTGCAGTGCTATTGGGCGTCAGTGGGTGAAGCTGAGGGATGCTGCTCGGCACCCTCCATGCTCAGGACAGCCCTCCCAATGGAGTGTTCTCGGGCCCCAGCTGTTAGCAGTGCTGTGGGTGTCCCTTGGGACCCTGTGCAACTGCGTCTGCGTATGGAGGGGGGTCCTGTGTGCCCTGACCCTCTTCCTTTCTTTTTACTCAGCTTGATGTGCACTCCGTGTCTGGGCCCCTGTCCCAAGGTCTGTCACATCCTGGAAGGTGAGAAGACCATCGACTCAGTGACAGCTGCCCAGGAGCTTCGAGGGTGCACCGTCATCAACGGGAGCCTCATCATCAACATCCGTGGGGGCAGTGAGTGCGGGGGCGTCCCGCCGGGGTCCACGGTGCCTGGTGGTGGAGAAGGGAAATGGTCTAGACTTTGCTTCCTGCCTCCTCGGCGGTTTGAAGACTATCTTGAGTCAGTTGTTAAGACCTGTAATCCAAAACTCATCTGGTCCCACTCTCCCTGCTGAGATTCTGATTTTCCACATTCGTAGCTGGGACATCAGGAATTTGCATTTTTAACAAATGGCAACATTCCCTATTACAGGTCTGAGAACTGTGTTTCCAGAAATACTGTCACAGGCAAAAAGGCATTCCTTTGTTTACGTGTTCAGCAAACATTTGTGGAATATTTAGTGAACAGGGCAAAGTCTGTGCATGATGGGTTTGCAAATAAGCAGATCAGTTTATGATATAAACTCAGGCAGTGGTCCCACTATGCGGGGAAGCAAAGTGCGGCAGTGGAGGGAGTGGGATGGTACCCTTTTCTTATAAAGCGCCATATAATACATTTATTCAGCTTGGCAGGCCAGAGGGTATCTATTACAAGTCCTCAACTCTGCCCTTGTAGAGAACATGTGAACAAATGGATGTGGCTCTGTGCCAATAAAACTTTATTTACAAAGCAGACTGGGTTTGGCCAGCGGACTGGAGCTTGCAGACCTCTGAAGCGGGATGAGAGGTTGCTAGTTTAGAAGAGTTTCTGGTCAGAGGAGCCATGCTTTGAGTTGGTAATAGCGCGAACCAAGCTAATAGATGGGAGAGTGACATTCTGGGCAAAGGAGGCAGCCAGGCAAAGTCCCGAGGCCGCGTGTGCATGGTCTGCTGATGGGAGGGTGTGGGGCCCAGGTGCCTGAGTAGTGGGACAAGGTAGGTGAGACAGAAAGCAGCAGGCACTTAGGGATTTGCTGGCCCCGCAGTAAGGACGTTGGAGTGTATTTTAATTAAGTACGATTCATTTTGAGCAGGAAATGTCAAAATCATTTTCAGGTTGTAATTTAACTCCTTCCTATGAGAAATTATAGGAAGATTAAAAGATTTCTATAAAACTCACGGGTATTTTCTCTTTTCCTTAGACAACCTGGCAGCTGAGCTCGAGGCCAACCTCGGCCTCATTGAGGAAATCTCAGGGTATCTGAAAATCCGCCGTTCCTACGCGCTAGTGTCACTTTCCTTCTTCCGGAAGTTACGTCTGATTCAGGGGAATACCTTGGAAGTCGGGTATGTGGGCCTGATTCTGTGTCTATGGCCTGAGCACTAACTAGGAAGTGTGTGAGTTATTAACAGTTAGGGGTTTTTGCCAAGACATGGGAACAACCTGAGTATCTATCTACAGATGAATAATAAAGAAAATATGGTATGTGCATTTATATATGCAGGGAGTATTATTCAGTCATCTTATTCATAAACAAGAATGAGATGCCGCCATTTGTGACAACAGGGATGGACCCAGAGGGCATTATGCTAAGCGAAGTAAGTCAGACGGAGGAAGATAAATACTGGGTGATCTCACTTATATATAGAATCTTAAAAAAACAACAACAACAACCCAAGATCATAGCTATAGAGAACAGATTGGTGGTTGCCAGAGGCATTGGGGGGAGGATGGGCAAAATGGATGAATGATGGGCAAAAGGTACGAACTTCCAGTTACAAATTAAGTCCTGGGTATCTAATGTGCAGCATAGTGACTGCAGTTAACAATACTGTATTATATATTTGAAAGATGCTAAGAGAGTGGATTTTAAAAGTTCTCATCACAAGAAAAAAATATTTCTTAACTATGTGAGGTGATGGATGTTAACTAAACTTAGTGTGATAATCATTTTGCAACATTTAAATGTCACATTATTATAAAATACACCTAAAACTGATGTTAGATGTCAATTATATCTCAGTAAAACCGGGGGAAGAATAGAAGCACTTAGTGACGTATACGTTATATTAGTTTCAGGTATATACCATAATGATTCACTATTTGTGTATGTTCTGAAATGATCACCACAATAAGTCTGTTTCACATCCATCACCGTACATAGCTACAAAAAAGTGTTTTTCTTTGTGATGAAAACCTTTAAGATCTGTTCATTTGGCAGCTTTCAAATATTCAATGCAGTGTTGCTGACCGCAGTCACTCCACTGTAACTTAGGGGTTTTTAAAGCCAGAACATCTACTAGGAGAAAGCGCCTGGAGAACACTGAGAGAGAGCAGTGTGTGTGGGAACGTGTCTAAAGACCCAGCCCAGGAAAGTGGTGTCCATTCTACAGTCATTCTTGGAAGCCACAGGGGCACAGCCTAACATTGTGCCCTCCCAGGGCGCCACCTGCAGTGACACGGTGCCTGGCCATCTGGGCTTCACTGCGAGTTGGCATGCAAGCCTGACCAGGACCCTTCAGTTGCTGCCTCCGGGGCCTTCTCATGTCTGGGTCCCATTCCTACTGATTTCACCTGTTCCTTAATGAAATCTTACCTCCTCTGGCCGATAGGATTCTACCTCCCCGAGATATTCTGCTGGCCTCCTGGATTTTCTTCCTTATTTCCTACCCTTGAGTTTGCGCTGACCCCACTTCAGTTAGTAAAATAATAGAAATCCAGACTAGCCACGTTTCATGCAGATTGAGATGGACTTGTGAACAAGAAGTCTGAGGAAGGCCATCCAACAATGTCATCAAGGATAGGACCCAGCCTCTTCCATCTTTATGTGATCATGGTCACAGAATGGCTACCTTACATCTGTAGAACTGAAAGGGAAAAGGGAAAGGGACAAAGATATATGACAATTGAGAATGTCTCTTTCAAAACATTGTCTGGAACCTCCCACATTCTCACCCCCAACATTGAATTCTGTTTATATCTCCTTGGCCAGAATTGAGTCATGTGGCTGCTTCTAGCTGCAAGGGAGTGGGAAAGCGAATATTTACCTTTTCCAGTCTGTATAGGAGAGGAAGGCACAGGAAGAGGGGGCTGTGAATGGTTTCAAGAAACCAATCCATAGAATTGTTTAGACTACGTTCTGGAATCACTCACCAGCTCCTGTTGATTTTTCTCCCATACAACTGCTTTTTTGTTGAAGTTCAGAACTTTATTTGGATTATTCCAATGATCCTAAGCTGGGCATCCTAGAACTAGACCAGTGCTGTCCAACAGAAATATAATGCAAGTCACATGTGACTTCAGGTGTTCTAGTAGCCACATTTTAAAAATGTTAAAAGAAATAGGTGAAATGAATTTTAACAATGTATTTTACTTAATCCATTACATCTAAAATGCCATTTCAACTTGGAACCAATATAAAATATTATAAAGAAGATCTTTTATACTCTTTTATTTTGCATGCTAAGTCTTCAAGATGTGTGTTTTACTTCCAGTACAGTTCAAAATGGCCACACTTCAGGTGCTCAGTAGCCAGAGGTGGCTAATGTCTTCTGTATCGTACAACACAGACCTAGATGCTTTCGTTCTCTCATTCATTATGTGCAGGTGGCCCATGGGCACAGGTATAATCAAGTTACTGAGTTGTTATGAAACCTTCAGTGGCTCCTCTCTGCCGACCCAATAAGGTCACATGATCTTAGTCTTGATTTGGTATCCAGGATACTAGAGGGTTTGACCTGCTGCAGCTCTCCAGTGACAGAGCAGGCTGCTTTGCTCTTCTGTGGGCCCAGCTCAGGTGCCTTTGTCTTTTTAGTCTTTTCCGTCTGTGAAACCCGTATCTCAATCCATTGTAGTCTTACTCTCCTCCCCACAAGATGGAGTTCGGATACCTTCCTGGCCATGAACACTTCCTCAAATTCCCTTGGCTCTCCTACACCCCATTTTATACTTACTAAGTACGTGCCAAGCAAATGGTTAGGGCTGGGTATGTACTGCTGGGCAAGATCAACTCCAGCCATGGCCCCACCATCTTGTAGTTGGAGATTACAAGCCGATGAATGACTAGGTGTGTGTGTTTCCATAGGAACTACTCTTTCTATGCCTTGGACAACCAGAACCTAAGGCAGCTATGGGACTGGAGCAAACACAACCTCACCATAACTCAGGGGAAACTCTTCTTCCACTATAATCCCAAACTCTGCTTGTCGGAAATTCACAAGATGGAAGAAATTTCAGGAACCAAGGGACGCCAGGAGAGGACCGACATTGCCCTGAAGACTAATGGGGACCAGGCGTCCTGTAAGTGGTGATGGCCCGGTACTTCCAGCCTGTGGACCAGAGAGTGTGGCTTCCTTCCCTTCACCTACCACACTGGCCTCCAGGGATTAGCACTGCCTCCCCTGTGAGCTTACACAACTCTGTGTGCGATAGGCTTTTTGAAATACTGAGGACAGGTGTTGTCTCTGTACCAGATACAGTGCCTGATACGGGAAGATGTTACATAAACATTGAATGAATGAATGAATGAATGAATGAATGAATGAATACCTCCTTCTATATGGCCTTGGATCAAATGTTACTACAGGCCCTGCAGTTGCTACAGCTGGAGACTGTCAGCTGACTGCACTCCTGTGATAGGTTCTCTCTTGAAGGAGTATCTGAGCATTGAGCTGCCAAGGCTTCCGTAATACTGTCACGCGGAGTTGATTCTTTACAGAAGAATGTGGTCCACACTGTGGGAATTCTGAGGATGAAGAGTGAGGTTGGGGTGGAGCTTAAGGGAAGACTTGCATTCCAAGCAAAGGAAATTACTCTCTCCGAGCTATTGGAGAGTCAAGAAATTGTATCTCCAAGGTATAGGGATCTAAACTCACTTGGCATGTGCTCATTTGCACTAGAGTTACATCTTCTGACATGTCAGGCTTAAAGGTCCATGTGCATGTCAAAATTGTGTCAGGACTCTTAACTATTGTCCAGTTTTCCTTCTCACATTGGTGCCAGCTGCTATTTTTCAGTTGAGCATCTGGCCAGGTAATTGGCTGGCAGTATGGACCAACTGCCATGACCAGTTCTTGTCCTCACATACTGGAAGACACATGTGGGAGCAAGACCTGTCCATGGAACAGCAGGTTGACATCTCCTTTTCATGGACAGTCTTGGGAGTGTAGGATCACCGCTTTATGCTGAAACAAATGATGAAATACTGATATTTTTTTTTTAAAAAAAAATAAACTTTTCTAGGTGAAAATGAATTACTTAAATTTTCTTACATCCGGACATCTTATGACAAGATCATGCTGAAATGGGAGCCGTACTGGCCCCCTGACTTCCGAGACCTCCTGGGGTTCATGCTCTTCTACAAAGAGGCGTAAGTATAAAGTAAAAACTTGTGGATATTGCATATGTGCTCATTGTTCCCCTCTGAGGCTGCTCTATGTCGTCTTCCACTTGTGGAATAAACTTGTGGAAAAGCCAGAAACTGAAGCAGATAGGTTTCATTTGGGGTCCAGATTGGCCAATCTCTAATAGAAATTATTTTAATTTGCCCTTTATATGTACATCTCACCAGATTTCTTCAGTGAAAAGTCACTCAGTGTACTTAATAGTTTTTTTAAATTTTATTTTTTACCTATTTTGTATTTCTCCATCATTTAAAACGTTGGGGGAGGGAAATCCAAGATGGCAGTGGAGTAGGTGGGTGTTACACTTACCTCCTCCTAGGACTAAAAACTAGAATTACAACTAAAATATAGAGCAATCAGCCTCAATAATCAACTGAAGACTAGCTGAAGAAAAGTCTTATAACCAAGGGTTTTTAGAAAAAGCCACATCAAGACTGGTAGGAAGGGCAGAGACACAAAAAGGGCTGGTCCTGCTCCCCTAGGCAGTGGCTGAAATTTTGGGGGGGATATCTCAGCTGCTAACATCCCCTTAAAAGCATGGGGGTCTCAACCCCAATCTGGGCTCTCCGAGCCAGAGCGTTACAGCTGGGAAGAGGTGCCCATATAACATATGGCTGTGAAAATTAGTGAATCTGTCTGCCAGGGAGAGATGGGAGTCTGCTAGAGACACAGGCACCTTCTTAAAAGCCCAATGCACAAATCTTGTTCTCAGCCACTCACCCTGTGCTCTAGTTGAAAGAGGGTGGAGCAGATTAGAATCTCCTAAGGAGAGACTGGGGTTTGTGGCTCTGGAGAGAGAGAGATGAAGGGACAGCTGCCAGGATTCCTATGCTGAGTCCATCTCCCACACCACAGATGCCATCTTTCTTGGGGAGAGCATTCCCTTCCATATGGTATTACCCTGGCGGAATGCAATGAGACCACCCTCTGGATTCCCAGTTGTCCCACCCTGTGTAGCATGGGTCCTGCTGAGGAGTAGCTGCCTGGGCTTGGGTGTAGAAGTCCAGGCAAACTCAGTGGCTTTCCGTGACTGAGTTGTGTAGCTTTGGAGTGGAGGCCATTCCACCCACTTTCTGGTGAACCTGACTGGAGGCACCTCCCCTGCAGGAGAGATTCACTAGCCCCACCCTCCTGACTCTGGTGGGCAGAGTCCAGGACAGATTGAGTTGCATGGCCTTGCAGTGAGGGCCACTCCCACCACCTTCCCCCAAGCCTGACTGACAGCTCCTCCTCCTGGGAGAGCCACTAGACCCATCCTCCTGCTGTGATTGGATGGATTCTGGGACAGACTGAGTTGTGTAGCTTTAGTACAGAGACCATTTTTCTTTACATGCTCAACTGGTGCAAAGCCCTCCCTTCACAGGGCCAAATCTTGTTCTTTTTGGACCTGATAAACTCTGCTGGCCTTACTCTGATGACTCCCTTGACCACGCCCCATCACAAATGTGTGTGAGCACCCAGTGGGTGGCAGGTAGACTCTCTATACACTGGGACATTTGCTGAGTGGCCTCAGACCCAGCATTGGCACTGAGTTTGAACCTGTGTCAATCTGGCAAAAACCAGTCACCCCTACCTGGCAATTGAACCTGCCTTGTCCAATTGGAGTACTGCCAGTGGCTCTTTCAGTGATTGAGCCTAACAGGCAGCTGACAAGCAGAGGTGGATCTCAGGGTGTGTTGGGACTTTTGTGGACCTTTTCCTGGGCCTGGAACTTGTAAAAACCAGCCATAGTGCACAGCTTGTTTCTACCTGAGCACAGCCATGTTCAGCAGAGGCAGCCACAACTGTAGATCACTTTGAAGCTTCAAACAGGTTGCCCAGGGATAGTCAAAGGCAGCATCTGACATTGGACTGTGCCAGGGTTCCTCCTTAGAGGCCCCAGAACCAACACTCCCACTGGCCAGCTTTAGGCAACATCAGAGCAAGATCTAGTAAGCTTCACAAGTTGCATATCCAAAGGAAGATCTTGGCAGGCACCAGACCCTGCAGAGGAGAATTCAGCTCTGTGTAGTCAGCACCTGCACAAAGCTCATACACTGTGGTTGGGATTGATCCTCACAGTCAGCCAGTCTCAGGACTGACCCCACCTGTGAATGGGCCAATAGCAGTCAAGACTCAATTATAAGAGAAGGGCCCACATAACCCTCACAGGAGTCATTCCTGCAACACCCAGATCAGATGATCAAGGAGACTGCACATTGCAGTCCTGCAGGACATATACTGCATAAGTCCACCCTACCCAGACTGGGAGGTATAGCAGATCTACCTGATACACAGAAACAACAGTAAGAGGCAGCTAAAATGGGAAAACAGCAAAACAAGCCCCAAATGAAAGAACAGGAGGAATCTTCAGAAAAAGAGCTAAATGAAATGGAGACAAGCAATTGGTGACATACAGAGTTCCAAAGAATGGTGATAAGGATGCTCAAGGAACTTAGAATTATATGAGTAAAGGAATATAGAAACCATTAAAAAGATCTGGTCAAATGAAGAATACAATATCCAAAATGAAGAATACACTAAAAGGAATAAACATTATGTTGGGTGAAGTAGAGGATCAAATCAGCGATTTGGTAGACAAGGTAGCAGAAAACATCCAGAGTGGCAAAATGAAAAAAGAATTTTAAAAAGTGGGAATAGTTTAAGGCAGTGGTCGGCAAACTCATTAGTCAACAGAGCCGAATATCAACAGTACAACGATTGAAATTTCTTTTGAGAGCCAAATTTTTTAAACTTAAACTATATAGGTAGGTACATTGTTCTTAACTTAATTAGGGTACTCCTAAGCTGGC